CCCCCCCCCCCCGGTATAATCTTGCTTAAAAAAAGCCCGGTCTAGATAGGGTTAATTATTCAAACAGTCTAGCACAAGTCTTGGAAAAGGTGTTGCAATCGGCTAATCACAATTTTCGGTATTTTTTCTAATAACAAAGCAGTCCTTTATATATCTACCTATTTTTGCGTTGTGGGAACCTTTACATGTGAAGATATATAACACCGAGCAGATTATTATTGGAATGTGCAGAGCACTTTGGACTAATGCCTCTGACTATTTACAGCTTAGAGGTACATATCCAATCTTTTGTCACAAACTTCTCTGTTACATAGCGGATCATAATGACCCCCAGTGGGGGTCTTCACGCTTCGTTAAAAATTGAAAAATCTCAAGATTCCTCTCAAGATCTCAATATTTTAGACGAAATCTTGAGATCTTATAAGACAATCTTGAGATTGTTCATGACAATATATTCAGAATATTTCAGAATGTTCATATATTTCAGAAAATCTTCAGATAAAAACAAAAGGTCTCAAGATCTTTCCAAATGTTTTCAAAGTATCTTGAGATTTTTCCAAAGCATCTCGAGATGCTTTAAAAAATATCAAGATTTTTTAAAAGATTTCGTCTAAAATATTGAGATTTTTCCATTTTTATCGAAGCGTGAAGACCCGCACTGGGGGTCATTATGATCCGCTATGTAACAGAGAAGTTTCTGACAAAATATTGGATATGTACCTCTAAGCTGTAAATGGTCAGAGGCATTAGTCCAAAGTGCTCTGCTCATTCCAATAATAATCTGCTCGCTGTTGTATCCAAATCTGTGTACAACATCGAGGCTCTTGATATCTGTTGTACTTGATTCGAGAAACGTAAATAGATTGTTACATATAACATCATATTTGGTACTTTCCATAACAAAGTGAAATTCATTCATTTGTTTCGTGAAACTTCAATCATAATGAAAATGAGCGTTTTTAACAGTTAAACTAGATACGGGACGCAAACTGGGCACGGAGGAGGACTACTGTCCGAGATTCAATGCCACGCCTTTGTCTTTGACTGCATTTGCTTAACGGGGAAGAACGTAACTTTCTGCTTTGCTTAACCTGTCCCTACGTGCACGGTAATAAATTCAGGTGACGCAGGAGAGAAAGGTATCTTCAGTTTGATGAAATTTTCAGTTTGATGAAATTTTCTTTGATCGATTCACAATACACAAAGCAGGGGATAGATCTGCGCCAAATAACAAAAGACCTGTCAGCATACTACCTGCTGTCTCAAAGATATTGAAAGGGCGGTACATACTCAACTGTACAACTACTTGTCAGTAAACAGTATTCTCACAGAAGCCCAGTCTGGGTTTAGGCCAGGCCATTCCACACAATCTGCGGCCCACCTTCTCACAGAGAAGTGGTTCAATGCCATGAACACTGGTCAGCTGACAGGGGCGGTTTTTATTGACCTCTCCAAAGCGTTTGATACGCTCGACCATACCATTCTTCTGCAAAAGTTGTTTTGCTATGGCATACAAGGTGAAGCACTTGATTGGTTTACATCCTACTTATCTAGCAGACAGCACTGTACTGCCATTAATGGAGTTACCTCTGGTTTCCATAAAATGCAATATGGTGTGCCCCAAGGCTCATTATTGGGCCCGTTGTTGTTCTTAATTTATGTTAATGACATGCCGAATTGCGCCAAATCTTGTGAAATATCAATGTATGCAGACGACACTGTCATCTACTATAGCAGCAAGGATGTTAGCGATATTGAGTACAACCTCCAATATGATCTAAATACTCTTTCTCAGTGGTTCACAGCTAATTCATTATCCGTAAACAGTGGTAAATGTAAACGTGTAAATGTAAATGTAAACTCATGCTTATTGGAACAGATAAAAGGCTTAACAGTTGCAGAAGCCCTGAAGTGTATATCAATGGGGTAACTGTAACGGAATGTACCTTTTTACAAATACCTTGGTGTGTTAATTGATCGTAATCTCAACTGGAAGTGTCAAATAAATGCCGTTTTGGGCAAACTCAGGCGATCACTCAGCATTTTAAAGCACGTCCGCACATTCATCCCAACATCTACTCTGTTAACTTTGTACAAAACTATATTTTTGCCACATATTATATACGCTTGCACTGTCTGGGACACTGCGCCCGAAAGTGAGTTGGGGAAATTGCAAAGGATGCAGAACCGAGCTGGCAAGCTGATTCTACGAGCCCCGTATCTAACTCCATCAGCCGAAGTCCACCGACGCCTGGGCTGGAAGGACGTAAAGTCAATCCACAAATATCGATCACAAAGCCCTCTTACTACATAAGGCCCTGAACAACCAACTACCGCCGTACATGCGCCGGATTTTCACATACTGTAGGGATAGAGCGACCAGAAGCACCAGACAAAGCGCGACTAATCTCCTTGTGGTACCGATGTCATTAAGAGAAATATACCGGAGATCCCTAGCCTACTCTGGCTCTCTTGTATGGAACGCTTTTCCGCAGCATGTTAGAGCAGCACCTACTCTTGGCACCTTCAAAAGACTGCTAGTATCGTAACTGACTTTGACTGAACGATTTTGGACACAACGACTTATGAGTTATTTATTAGTTATTGCCATTTTGATTATTTATTTACTTTGTATGAGTTATCTTATGTATAAAAATTATTACTTTGTTTTCATTTGTGAGTAAGTAGTATTTATGTTATGACCCCCTGACACTCCTCCACGCTCGACCTCTATGAAAAGCGGCCGAAATGGCGGCCGATTAGAGCATGTAACACAGTTACATATCGAGTTAAATAAAGGATCAAACAAACAAACAAACAAACAAACAAAAGCACAGACATACACATACAAAAACAGTAGATATTAAATGTATCGACAGGACATTTTATGCTCATTGAAAATTGTGGTTCTAGAACTAATACATAGTTTGGCAATCTCCAGGTGATGTAACTCAACGTAGTATCAAATAGCACATAGAAAATGTCATTTTAAAGGGTAGAAAGGGTAGCCACTAGATTTCAAAGGAAAATTGCTTAGTGCAACCGCTTCCGCAAGGAATTATAAAGACTTCCGGCACCTTGTAGCAGCATTGCGGGCCTCCACCCTCAGCCAGACGCCCCCCTCGACGTGGTTCCCGTTGTTGTTCGCCAGACGAAGGGGAGCCTAGAAAGAAACAACCTCCTTGTATTATTAGTGGAGCAGATAATATCAAATTTTGGAGGAATCTTTCAGATTGTGATACAAGCACCAAACTTGGTACAAATTCTCATGAGACATAGTCATGATTTTTATGTGGTATAAAGCTGTTGGGGTAAGGAAGACGGAGAGGACTTTTTGGTCGGCTTCAGTACCAAAGAGCGCCCTTGGAGCAAATTGTGCACCGGCAAAACAACGCCTCTGATCTGCAGTTCCAACGCAAGCTGCTAGAGACACCAAATTTATTTGTCCCCTGTGTTGGTGGCGGCATTGATAAAAGTTGATAAAACTTAACTGTGCCGTCACCACGTCTGGTGATTACTAAAAATATAACTGTCATGGATACTAGTAACAACGTACATTTTGTACAGTGTATTAACACTCTTACTACACCGTGTCATTTATAACTTGTGTGTTACACAAGAGTGGAGGGTTAGATATCTTTCTTTTCGTTGTCAAGCTTTCTGTGTGTGTGATTGTGTTGGTGGATTTAGTTTCCTTGGGGGGGGGGGGCTGTAAGGTTAACGGGATTATTTCTTCATGGCGACAGGAACAGGATACGGAAGGCATACGTCACGATTGTTTTGGCGAAAGAGAGGAAAGTCGAAGGAGCGAGAAGTCTTAAACCATTACTTCCTTATACGAGCTACAACTATATTTCACGAAACAACTGTAGCTCTCAAGACTTGTACATGTCGATAGGGAGAGGTTTTTGTCACTGTAGGACTTTACATAGCACGAAACGCTGACAGGAAACAGTACTTAAACCATACATAAACGTAACGGTCTGGCTTCTCAGAAGGCCACCATATTCGAATCTTGACAAGTCTACAAACAAACGTCCCAAACAGACTCTTTGTAAAACAACCAGAGCGGTCACTGTCTCACCTGAAATCTTGAGACGTTGAGGTCGAAGATACGGCCAAGATTTCCCTCAGTTTGGGGCTCAAGAATGTATTGAACAAGAAGAACACAAGTCAGAATAGTTTATTTCCGGGTGTAGCTTCAAAACTGCAGCGTGAATTTTCCACCGTGACAGCGTTGGGCCGTCTCACCGTCACTGTGCAATCAACAAAGGCGGGACATTCCATTACACAAGGGGGTAGCACCGAAAATAATGGACGTCAACAGCGCGCGTCTTCTCATTTCTGCCACATTGTAGAATGATTAAATCTTCAGATATATAGCTCCATCGTAAAACAGAACAATGTTTAACAGTGGTGGTATAGTTTAAACCCTATCTAGACCGGGCTTTTTTTGGCTTGGTGGGACCGGGGGGGAGGGTGGCTCATTTAACCCCCCCCCCTCAGAACGGTATGTCGTATGACCACCAAATTTTTTAGAGGATGGTGTACTAGTAATTTTTTTATATGTACAATTTATGTCATTTTGACGTAATAAATGTGATTTTATTGGCCAAAACTGTCTACATTTTTCCTTGAAAACTTCCCTGGTATACAACATAACTTTACCAAAAGTGTTTATGACAGAATATTATGGTGTACTAAGTCTTATGTTGCCCATAGCAACACCGGTGACGTCATAAAATGACGTCATGCGTATTTAAGCTATCCGCCATTTTGGATCTTGAATTTTCAAAAATAGTTTTTTTTTCAGGATAAAGTCTAGAATACATTGTGAACAAACTAAAGACGTTCATATGAACCATTTTTGAAAGAAAGAAATGGAAGTTTTGATGAAATTTTAAGGAAAAAAACCTGTTTATACCTGTTCTAATGATATGGTCCGCCATCTTGGATTTTGGCCAATGACGTCATCAAATTAGCATAAATTATGCATTTTATTATAAAATTTACATAAAATTATCCGGGATATTATTAATATTCGAAAACATTTGTAACTTGACAAAACCAATGAAATTCTAGTGTTGAAACTAAAATTACTACATATAGCAAAAAAAAATGCCTGTCAGAAATCCGTTGCCATGGCAACATTAAAAATCACTATCATATTCCAATGATACAAAATTGTTACCATCAATATTCTAGGAAAAGTCACCAAGTTTGGCCGTTCTAGCCCAAGCTGTTCAGGCGCTATGCGACATCAAAGTTGGCGCGGGCACTTTTAGCCCCCCCCCCGTCTAGATAGGGTAAATAATTATGCACAAATGATAATTTTACGCCCTCGCGCTTATATTGTTCAACTCAAGTTCGTCACTATGCTACAATAAACCGTATTATCTTTCTCATTCAGTTCAAAGTCATGATATAGTAAGAAGAGTACTTTTCTCTTCAAAGTAAAATTGCCCTGTCACAAGATCTTCTTTTGTCAAATTCTCTTAATTATTTTGAAAAAAAACGCGGCCAGTTTTGGATATTGACATAACAGGCAAAAAATCAAGTTCAATAATTGGCTTTTTAGCGGCTTTTTTGTTTCTTTTTATTCTTCTTCTCCTGCCAAATAAAGTAACGTTCCTGAAAACCGTATTCAAGAACAAATCGGTTAAACTAAAACTCTTTACAGTTTTCTGAAAAGACGCAAGGTGGCGTTGTATCAATGTCAAGGATCAGGTGCCCCCCTCCCCAGCGTACCTCGGCCTACTGCAGACGTGGTTCCACCAGACGCAGTGAAGCTCGTTCAACATCATCAACATCATGGATTCATTTTCTAAGACTTTAATGATGTAACCTGAATCTTGTGAAATGCTGTTTGTTTCATTTAGGCCACACTGACTTAATTTTATGGATGACATCCGCGCACGCATTGATTTTCGCCTGTTCTCAAAAAAAAAAATGATGAAGCCCACCGAGGCTCTGTCCTGGCTCTAGGCCTGGGTAGTCCATGGCAGTTAGCGACAATACGGAGCCGAGCACCCAGGCTACCGAAGCTCCACGAATGAAGAACTCAGTACATGCGTACGGTCCAGATTAATAAATTCCATGTATACATCACTTAAGTACCACCGCAAATTCACCATACCAGCTTTGTATTCCTGTGGTTTAGTTGCATTTTTAGTTTTGGCCGGAAATTTTTTTTTTATTCACCCGTGCGCACTAGTTTTGGGGTCTTCAGAAGATGCCATCCATAAAATTAAGTCGGTGTGGCCTTATTTAAAATAAAGGTTAAAGGTATTTGTAAGTGATAACAAGATCACTTATCACAGAGTCTACCATTAATGATAGGGCCACTCCAAATTAATTTTATTAATGACTTCCGCGCGCGCATTGATTTTCACCTGTTCAAGAAAAATCACGTTTTCCGAGGTTCTGGCCTGGCCCTAGGTAACTCTGGAGGATGTCACCCAGGCTACCAACTCAAGAACGTAGTACATAGTACGTACAGAAGCGATTCATAAATTCCGCATAAAGCCAACATTGTACTGCCATAAATTCACAATACCATCTTTGTATTCCTGTGGTTTAGTAGCATTTTCATTTTGGGCCGGTGTGACGGAGATCTCGCACCCCCTGATGGAGACGGCCACAGAGCATCGGAAAGTTTAACCTGTGCTCCGAATGGTTTCACTACAGATGTACTAGCATTGGACTCTCGGCCAAAGAAGCAAGGAGCATGCCATTGGAAGACTGAGAGTGTCCAAAATGTAGGCCCCCATCGTCAAAACGGCCGAGACTGTACAGCACACTAGTACTGTGCAGAGTACTGTGCACTAGTACTGTGCACTAGTACAGAACATGAAAGGTAAACAAAAATGGATTTGTGCATTATATACTACTAGAGTTCCACGATCTCATACCTTCGCCAACCTTAATTTATATTAGATTATGCATATGAGGTCTTAATTTGAATAAATTATGTTTAATGATATTCAGCTTTGCTCACCCTCCAAACGCCACAAACATCAAATTCCTGGCAGTTAAAAACAATGAAATTATAGCTTTTTCTTATGAATTATGCAAATTAGCCCCCAATTTACATAAAATTATATGGCCATGTTCCTCTCCTGTCCAATTACACATGTCACAAGTCTGAATAGTCCTATCATGGCAAGCAACAGATTTATAGAATATCCTCATTAACAATGCAAATTATATCCTTATTTGCATAATTGTCATCTCATTATGTCAAGCATCATCTAGGCTGCCTACATACCAAAAATCACAATAATTCCTCAACTGGTTCTTGAGTTATCCTCCTTTAAACATTTGAACTTACCCGGTTTTACCCCATAAATCATATAAATTACGTCATAATGACGCCATATGACGGCATAATTACACGAAAATTGTTAATATGAATTGGTTTTATTACTACACCATTCTCTTCGGTGGCCCTACGATAAGTTGTTGCTGAGTTGCAGGGGGCGGGCTTCAAAAGTGCCCCCCCCCCGTCTGAGCATGCGCAAAAAAGCCTGGTCTGAATAGGGTTAATCATTTGACCTTGTTTTCCTGAGGTCTTGCCAGTGATCAAATTTTACCGACAATAACAAATGTCTCTGCCATCTTTGGTCAATACCATTAGTTATGCAAACAGTGATTACAGATTTCATGATATGATTAAGTGTCAAGTAACAGGTCATGACAGAGAATATGCCGACGTATTTTGCTAAGGCGTCCACAAATGTCACACAAGGTTCATTGTAAGCTGTGGCATTCATGTGTTTGGGCAAGTTGGTGTGAAAACACAGAACAAAATGGGCCTTCCGAAAATTGGTCTTCTATACCTGGCATGCTGCCTGGCAGGTACAGATTGTCACAATTGTTATGTTGATAATCAGGGGTAGCACTAAAGTTGCAGTTATTTTTGTAAATTCATTTGCCTCTGATATTAATAGAGTTATGTAAAAGCATATGATAGTTAGCCCATGCTATATTTTTAGTAATCACCAGACGTGGTGACGGCACATTTAAGTTTTATCAACTTTTATTAATGCCGCCAACAACACATGGGACAAATAAATGACAGGACAATACTCATTTTCACCTGACCGAAGTGAGGAAAGTCGTGTAAAGTGCATTTCCTTAGGGAACAAGATCGGTGGCATGTCAGGACTCGAACCCGGGACCCCTCGGTTCCGAGTCGCGCACTCTGCCGCTACGCCATACGACCCCACAAAATCAGGATATGGCAATACATTTTGCATCGTTACAGTATTCTTATGCTGTATTTATCAAGTTCTAATGGATGCATTATGCGATTAGAATTAAACTGTTTGGGGCTAATCATGAGGGATGAGGTTATCCTAGATGTTACTTTCATGTTAATACAACAGATTCATTTGGCACACAATTTACCAGTAAGTTATTTTCGGCTATTTCAGGATCAGGGGGTACTAGAATGTAAAACATAGGAGAGTTTTTCAAGTTGCAGATTTTTTTCCCAATTTAAGTGCAGGAAATTGTACTACAAGTGATACAGTTTATAAAATATTATATATATTTTATACAAAATTTGGGTGCTTGGTTTGCAGTATACGAAAACTTGTACAGACCTCATGATTAGCCCTAAACATCTGTATTTTAATTGCATAAAGCATTCAATAGAACTTGATAAATACAGCATACGAATACTATAACGATGCAAAATGTATTGGCATACCCTGATCTTGGTTCCATGGAATAATTGTTTGATTATACTATTGTATTTGCAATAATAAACAACGTCTCAAATATATGTCGCGTGTTTGTTCCATTTTCCTAAAACATGTCTGCCTTTAAAAGACTTAATTGACAGTTATCAACCCTTCATTTTGTTGCACAGGTTACGTGGAAGGGCAAGTGCCTGACAATGTGGATCCTTGCGTTTCCTACCGAGAGTTTGACGGTACACACCGCAGCTCTACATACCAGTCCGCTCCAGGAGACACCCTCCTTTGTGACAACGCCATACTGACAGGTAGGTAGGGCTACTCTCCAAGCAGAAGTTTGGGTTTGGGGCTATTTTTTTGTTTGCCTTTTTTTTTACTTTTTTATCGGGGTTTCTTTTTTGCACTGGAATTTTTCTTTCACCCAACCCAACCACTGCCGGCAATCACCATGGAGCGGGGCAAACGTGATTCAAGAAACATGACAGTGCTCCTCCCCGGGAACCATCAAATTATCATTAGGGATCACCATTTTACTGTGGTGGATTATCACACATCTAGCCAGTCAGAAAGGCATTCATTTGGCCACACGCCTCCTGCTGACTGTGCCTATTCATGCGTCCGGTTCGCACCTACTTGAAGAACGACTGTAAGTAGGTTCATAGGGCATCGATGCGTTCGACTACCGACAGAAGTTGGGTTCAGTGAAAGAAAAATGCCAGTGCAAAAAAGAAACCCCGATAAAAACACGCCAAATACAGTAACTCAAAACCCTGACCTCTGGTTGGAGAGTAGGTTGGTACCGTTTCAACGCTCGTGAAGGTGGGATGATGTCTGAGAACTGTGTGCCACCGTACCACTGTGGAACACAGGTGCCAATTTGGATGTCTGGAACACACCCTACTACTGAGGAGATCGTGGACAGAGAAGTCTGTATGAACTACGGTGTCCCAGGGGACTGTTGCTCAGCTAAAATGCTGATCAAGGTTAAGAAATGCACGAATATTGGAGGTCCATATTACGTGTATTTCCTTCATCCAACAACTGGGTGCAGCATGGCATACTGCATGGGTGTGTACGATTCTTGGTAATTTTTTTTTTGTCTTTTTGGGCAATATTTGTAACACTCGGGGAATCTTTCTTTAAACACAGACCGACGGCCTTAGTTGCAATGAGTACAGGTGCACAAATAAATTAATATTAGATGAGAATCAAGGAAAATGCAATTTTTGTGTAAGGTAGTAAATAACAGGGGCAAATACCTTATCGAGAGAAAGAAATGATACCTTATAACTTATTACAGGTCCACAACTGTTGAACGGATTTCTTCGCTACACAACTTGAATATTTTTTAAATCTTTTTTTTTAATCTTAAGATACACGAAACGCAGCAGGTCCTGACCAGACTTCTAGCAGACATGTGGGTATGTGGATTTAATTTGTTGTGATATTATGATAAAAACATAGCAAACCAAAGTTCTTAAAACATATGCTTTCGTCAGGTTTATACATTTTGTTTCATTTCGCTAATGTCGGAAGAAGTATACCTTTATATAAATATATAAATATATTTATGTATAAATAGTTTTTTCTTTGTCTAGATCTGTATAACCTCAACCAAGAGCAACATTTTTTCACATTTCCTATCTAAATTGTATGTCTAAAATCTTGCGAGAGTGTCCATACATTTATGATTGATTCTTTGCGTCTTTTCTGCACTTTTAAGGCCAAACACCTGACAGGCTTTGCATTACAGACTTAAAACAACACAAACAGAAAACCATCGAATTACTGCTAAAATCGTCCCGCTGCGACGTCTAAACCAACCGTAATGGGTTCTGTATCAATCTGTACGGATATTTTAAGATTTATGAAGCCTACGTGGCCCTAGGATAATACCGATGTGGTCGATGGCAGGGCGTAAACAACATTCCTGATAGGTATATGAGTGCTTCGGTAGCGTAGTGCCAGAGCGCCACTTTTCCTAGTTTCCTAGGAGGCTTTTTGTTGGCGATATCAATACAGATTACTTGCGCGTAAATGACTACGACATTTTCATTGTATTTCATCATTTGTACGCATATGTATTTGTACGGAAATATATGTCACATGAAAAAATGAAAAAGACACACATTTCTTTGCTGAAAGCAAAAACAAATTTTGAGGTAGATATAATTTCTAAAAAAATGTGTGTGGTTGCATGTACTATGGTCATTTTACGTCCAATAAGGACCCGGTGTTCTCAGGTACAGTGAATAGTCTAGGCGGAGAAAATGAAATATTCAATAATTACTATTCTATCGAAATTACATGTTTTAGCATATTCCAGTTGCACTTTACGTGAGCAAAATCAACAATTGTACCATACAGAAAAATACGGTTCACTTTGCTATCAGCTGTCAAGTTCTCAAAAAGATCATCACAACTCTGGTCAAGACTGCGCCGCAATGGGAGGTGGGCTAGCTCTGATAAAGAACACCGACACACAAAGCGCCGTGGCAGGTCACATCATCCGAAACAACAATGAAGTCAGCCATTGGATCGGCGTCAAAGCGCCGGTATCTCCCTTCCTTTACGACGACTGGGAAGCGGTGCAAGGTACTTTTGATTATATAAAATCAAAGGGATGAAGTTGATCCACCGTATATAATTTAAGAATATAATAGCAATGGCTTGTTTAGTAATGGTTTAATTGTAAAACTTGCCGCGCAAGGCTAAATTAATGTTCTTTGTAGCCAGACAGTGTGTAAAATATTAACACCTTCAAGTGTACGTACGGCATAACATTAAGTTTGTTAAAAAAAAAAACAATAATTTCTGTAAAAGATAGCGAAGAAAATGCAATATTTAGACTATAATAATGGGAGTCGTTCAACCTCGTTCAACCTCGCAACCTAGCAGGGGAACTATCATCATATAGTTCCCCTGCAAGGAAGATACTTCATTTCTATGAATTAATATCAAATCTACATCTACTTTGCGGGCAAGCTGCCAATTATAGTTCATATGCAGCACGTCATTTGGCTAGTAAAAAAGCCATATTTAACATCTGACGTTGCCGCTATTTCAACCACTGGGGTGTCAGGATTTGGATACAGTTATAGTCCAAAACACTTTTAGAATGTACATTGTACGAATGCAAAATTAAAAAAAAAATGTTTCCTTTTTGTTTAGACCCACAGCTCTGGGCTCCCAACCAGCCTCCGACCTTCTGTGTGTTCATGGACAGTAGCGCCAACTACAAGTTCACCGTGGGGCGCTGTTCGGAGCAACATCCATTCGTCTGTCAGAGTGGTTAGTCACAAATGTCTCATTTACAAACCACGTCAAACTAAAATGTTGTTAAATCACAATATATCTCTTATTGCTGCTATTTACTGCTATCATAGATATATTTCTGTTGTATCAACTTGTCTGCTACTAGTATTTGTCATATTATAGGTATAGGCATTTTGCATCTAGTAAGAACGTATAACACAAAGAATAACGTTTCAGTAGATATAACAAATAACAAGCTAAAGAAATGTCATATCTAATCTCCAAGCAGATCCTAGCTTGGCAAAATACAGCATCAAAGTGGCCAGGCATTATTATTCATTAGCCAAAGAGGGCCCATACGCCACCCTTGAGAGCTTGGAATTAACAAATATCCTGAATTCACCACGGTGATTCCTTAATTTGCACGAGTCTGCTGTGGCCGAACACTGCCTAATACGTACTGCCGACAGGGCTCGAAATTTATGTTTGGGAATAGGTGCACTAATGCATCCAACCCAAATAATAATTATAAAACATAACCTAATTACAAATCTTACTACTCCTCTTCTGAGCTTAAATTTGAAATGGGAGCTTACTTCAAAATCTGACATAAGTACAACAAAGATTTTATTATTTTTCTGACACTTAGATGCTAAGAATATCTTTTATACCATTATACATTTGGTATGTACAAAAATACCTACAAAAATATTTGGGTGCACCAGAGAAAAAAATGGGTGCAGAGCTCTAATTTTGGGTGCACTAAGGTGTAAATTGTAATATGCATTATATGTATGTCTAATAATTTTCATTTTCCCCCCAGGGTGTCCCTTAGTAATAGTCCTTGACTAGTTGGGACACCCTGGCTTCTTTGTAAGCCATATTGATAAATACATAAAGGAGCTTTAATAAGAAACTTTAAAATATGTTTTTTATAAATAATATATTATATAAATATGTTTAATATATATTCAAAATATGTTTTTAAAAATATTTTATGGTCCAAACAGTACCCGTTCAGCTGCAGCCTTTATACGGCTGAATTGATGCAGGGTATCACATAATAATCAATACAAATCACAAAAATTACAAGAATAAAACAATACACATGATATACATTTTTTTTTACAATTATTTTTTGTGGAACTGTCGCAATAGTCTGTGCGGCTGCCATTCGGCGCCACAAGTTGACCTCAACTTTATTTGCACAATAATGCCCGAAGGCTAATTTCTTTTACAATCAAGTATAATATTCATTGCAATGCAGTAACAGGAGACAGGTAACAACTGTCTGGAAAAAACTTCTACTTCTACAACTACGCTAGCTATTATGGGGTTCAACTTCTTTGAAGGCAGTGGATAAGGAATAGTCCCACATTTAATAACCATACTGATCTGTTGTTCAGATATAGCCGGCTGTCAACAAGACGTCTGTCTGAACGGCGGCACCTGCACTTCCTGCTTTGGTGAAACTTACAAGATGTGTAACTGCCTACCAGGATACACTGGGGACCGATGCGAAACAAGTTCGTAATTCTATTTTAATATACTTTGCAATGGTTTTGAAAATTTTAAATAAGAAAATTTATCACATGATTTACATCAGACTTTTTCAGAATATGCATTTATTAGAAATGTACCATGATTTCTTTACAAGTGAGTCCTCTACTCTGTTTCCAGCGAATTCGCTCCAACATACTGACTGCTGTGATGTAATCACCCCTCATAGACTACATTCTTTTAATGTCAGGGATCATTTCTAACTATGGTTGTGAAATTTTTAGAAACAATTGACGATCAATATAGCTAATAAAACTCCACACACACACACACACACGCACACACACACACACACACACACACACACACACACATACACACACAAACATATCAAAAATACCTGCACAGTCCCAATTTTACCTGCACTAACCTGCATATACCCAGTACATGGACCAGTGTAGGTTAGGTGCATGTAGACATCAGAAATACCTGCACAGCTCCAATTTACCTGCACTAACCTGCATATGCAGGTGGTGTTTCTATCTCTGAGTACACATGTTCAACGATGTCATTTTCGTTTTATCTTATCATTTTACACAGACATTGACGAGTGTGCATCTTCGCCCTGTTTGAATGGAGGGACTTGTTCGGATGGTGACAACTCATACACCTGCCAGTGTGTTACCGGCTATGATGGAAACAACTGCGAACACGGTTAGATTTATTTATTTCTGTTAGATATGATGTGCATTACGGTTGTATGTAAAACACATATATGCAACGATTTCTATTTCGCCAAATAGAACATGGATATGTAATAAAGGTTTCTTTTAATTCAGATAACTCTTTTCCCTCCATATATCAACTTGAAGGTATCATATCACGATGTGGTTCTCATTTCAGACATAGACCTGTGTGACCCTAACCCGTGTCCGTTTGACTGGATTTGTTTTGAGAATGTTGGAGGCGGCTTGCACTGTGACATACCAGGTAAGCATTCACTGCCATATTTTGGTATATCAATCATGCGTCTTTAGTGTTACCTAACCCCATGCCATAAGTAGTCATTTGGCCCTGCATTGATAAAAAAACGTAAACAAATTCTCAGTTTATTGTGCCCCTGCATTTATTACCCTACTTGTGGCTTTGTATACGATAGTAACAAAGTACTTTCATTTACAAAACCACGTTTAATACCTCGTTATTCAGTAGATGTATGACTGTTAAAGCAATGTTTACAGGTACTCGTCACGAGATGGACCAAACTGCCTTCGTCTGTTCTGCCTCTTCCTGCCCGGTGGGACTGAAGTGTCACAGCGTTACCGGTGGACCTGGGATCTACTCCTGCGTTCCGTAGACAAAATGGCCGGAGACAGACTAAAGCCTTTGGCATTTGGAAAAAAAAAACATGCACTCGATTTTGCTACGCAAGGCAAACGTTCAGGAAGACGATGAATATTACAAAACTTTTAATGCTATCATTCCTTAACTGTTACCCCTAACGGTCGCTTAATGTCATTTTAAGCATAGAACAGCTTAACAAGTTCATCATGAACATAATAAGTGTCTTTACATAATAAGTAAAAATGGTATAAAGCGTGTGTAATGAAAGATAGTATGCTTATTTCTTTTTAATCTTTTTATGCTTGGATGGTAAGAATGTCCTTGATATCTAACCATTAAAACGTGAAGACAATTTTGTTCAAATATTTCTGGTTGAGTATGGAATATAAATTGAAGTATATTAAAAAAATTAATATTCTTTTATAATAAGCAGGCACACGCATTAAAATCAATACTAGCAAGGAATGATTTGTGGTGTCTAACTTTGTGTCGTTTTTTACCATTGTCAAGCACGTATATGTCTTTAATCCACTCACTATAAAAAGCATGTTATGTAAGCTAGAAAACATCGTCGATTCTGTTTAAGTCATCACTCCACCGTTCAGACATATGAAGACATATATATTCATTGGAACGAATTCACTTTAAAGTGAATTTTCTTAATTTTTGTTCCTTCTAATCGTCACTATAACCATATCCAAGTTAGGGGCATGTTGAAGTTGATAAAGTCTACTGCAAAGCTAAACGTTTACGTGAACTGATTTTATGTAAAATAAAAGAGTATGTTGACAGCAACTCCCTTGAGCATGGCGAGTCTACACTGTCAGGTAGTCAGTCAGTCCTGTTTACTTGGTCGGACCCCTTTTCAAGGAGTCCCAAAGTCCGTAATTTCTAGAGTTTAAAAATACTATCTAACTTGAAAAATGATAGAGAAACAGTCATTTTTGATCAGGTTTATCGGGTATACCATAATTTCAAAATAACCAAGGCTGCTAAAAACCAGTCAATGTCCAAAGGTAAAGTTAATTATTTATCAGCAACCATTGTGCTTGTGATAAACTTTGGCCTAACTGTTATCGTACCCTGCACTAACAAGCGCATGTGTGGAGCACACTTTAGAGGCGTGTAAACATCTTAGCAGAGTGTTATCAACATCAAAGGCGTCAAAATCCGATATGTACGAGTAACTGGCAGCTAGGCCAGTTACACAGGCTGTAGGGATCTTGACACGAACATTAACACGAACGGCACAAGCCTTCTCATAGGGTGTACCATACTGGAGAGTGTGCCAGGCGTCAAGTGCTGTACCCCGCCTGACTTGGTTCATCTCGTTGTTTTTCCGTGCAAGGATCTGTGTAAGGGCCTTTGGTATGAACTAAATAATGATATTTTTTTCAGTTTTTTTAGTACGATGATTCCGGTAATTCAATAGAGCAAACCCCAAACCTGAAAAGTGGTATGTCGTAATTCTATAGCCTATGTGCGTTTCATTTAAAATCTGTTGCATGCATTCATCAGGAGAAAACAACTAGATTTCAAGACTATCCTCGAATATTATAATATGGCCTGCAATTGGTTTTTGTAAAAAGAATGCAGTGTGGGATATATTGACATATCTACAATGATTGAAATGATTCCCGAAGTGTTTATTTTTGTTCCTGGAATAAAGCCACATGCTTTAATTGCAGCGTGGCTATTAAATCGGGCCCTAAAATTTTAAATATCTGGATATTACATATCTGGAACATTAGGATATTTACAGATGGCTGGATTATGCCATTCCGTTTGTAGTGTTGAATAAAGCATGCATGACCAAAAGGATTAAAACTTAAAAGGACACAACGTGCTATAACATATACACAGAAATCCTCAAGGTAAAAGACTGTAATCAGCAACATATGCTTAGAAATATCGTGAATGATCCTTCGGCGGCAAAATCAAAGCCTTGTGTTGATCAACAACAGGTGCAGTTTGTTACTTGGCAAATATGAGCGACACACCAAGGTCACTAATGGAATGCTGTGAGATACGAAGTCAATAGAGTGTAATGATTAACTTGAGGTTAACGTTCGAGAAAACACATAACAAACCAGAGTTCCACGATTTCATACCTTCGCAAAAGGATGTTAACATTTACGACTGACGAATTATAAATGTCTCTTATTCATACAGGTTGTTGTCTGCAACAATTTTATCATCTGATTATGCTCTTCATTTGTGTCGCTTCTTTCCAGGCACAAGATCTATCTTCTACCCTAAAATCTTGGTCCTACCCTGTCCAGAACACGAGGTACTAAAAACCGGCTCTTCCGCAGAAGTTCTTAGCAAGCTACTATGGGATTCTCAATCTAATCATTATGTCATTGCATCAAGACCCACCTACATCACAAATATGCATACAGGCTATTCACGACTTCTATAGTTTCACTGTTCACGGGAAGAAAAAAATAGTACATACACACGGCCCGAATACTCAAATTTCTTGGTGAAGGTAAAAAGTCGCGTTTAACAGATACTAGGTTGTACATCATGTAGGAAGTATGGCCGGCGGGTAAGCATATGTCATAACTTTGCAATGTGGATGTTTGCTCCACACAGGAACAAACATTTGATGATCGATAAAACTGATTCAGAAGTCCATATCGACAGTTGCCATAAAGGTAGCCATGCCGATCAGGAGTTGTATAATCTACCCTGCTGAGGAATGAGCTAGACCATCGCCACAATGAAGTTTTTGGTGGTGGTGATGATCCTTCTGACCACCTCTTTGCCAGGTGAGATATTAAACGTTAAGTTTCAATCAGCTGTTATCCCTGAATGAGTTATTTAGGTGATCGTATGTCTTGGTGATAATGGTTCGAGTCTTAAGTGGATAGATTCGCGAGCAGGCAATCGGTTGGCTAATCCTGCCCTTTTTCCCAGGGATCATTTCACATAACTGGTGTGTTACGCAGAGGGGCGCTTATACCCGCTATATATACGGATAGGCACCCGGGTTTCACACTAGTGCACACAGGCTGTAGGGATCTTGACACGAACATTAACACGAACGGCACAAGCCTTTTCATAGGTAGTACCATACTAGAGAGTGTGTCGGGCGTCAAGTGCTGTACTCCGTCTGACTTGGTTCATCTCGTGGTTTTCCGTGCAAGGATCCGTGCAAAGGCCATTGGTATGAACTAAAAATGAATATTTTTAGTATGATAATTCTGGTAATTCAACAGAGCAAACCCCAAACCTGAAAAGCGGTATGTCGTGATTCTATTAGATGCGTTTCATTTAAGATCTGTTGCATGGATTCAAGAGAACTGGTGTGTTACGCAGAGGGGCGCTTATACCTGCTATACGGATAGCAGGTATAGGCGATATGACCTCGCTGTGCCATACTCACATATCGCGTCCCGTGAAGGCCTATATAGCTATCAGGTGCAGAATTTGGTATATACATTTTGCTAATTAGAGGATAAGGGTTCTATATTAAGCATAGACCACCGTTATATAAATGTCTCTCGTCTAGAACCGGTATACCGGTAAGTATTACGCTCCGCATCAAGGAATATGTGGATTTGAGTAAGTAGTCCATAGGAAGCAAAAAACTAAAAGTTACGAAAACGTTCTTGACTCAAATTGGCTCCTGTTGTTTGGGTATAGATGAGATGGCAGGACGCGGGCTGGATAGTTCGACACGTAGATACATTATCTCATATATATGGCCCGTCTAACTCCTCTTTCGAGAATAAAAGGGTGTCCCTGAATGCAGTGTAGATGCTTCGTAGAAAATTACAAAGGAGTAGGGGTTATTTCTAGGTCTCAAATGTTCAATTATTTCAATATATTTTACCAGTAGATAACAGCCACGTCTGAGGCCTGTTTGGATTTGTTCATGAGTACATTAAAAGAATATATACTATAAGACAGGTTAATAACATTATTATGGTATCAAATTGTCGTTAACGTATGTTCAGACCAAAGTTGAACACACGTCCTATTTTATTCCGTTATTAAAAGCCGCTGTAGTTACCTCTCTATCATTTTCTACCAGGCACCTACAATGGAGATATGTACCAAACAACAAACTATCCACCAAACAAAAAAAGGTGAAGGTTGCCTTTGTTTAGTAGATGGTTTGTTCCACAATACAGCCGGACCCTCAAACTGTTAACTGCCGCTGAAATACTGTCTGATTGCTTGTAGTAGGTATAGTAGGTGCACCGGTGAGGGTTCCAGTTTGAAAGTTGGTCTGCTCCAGTTCGTGTTTATACATGCCTAGACCTTTATTGCACAACGATTGCACATGGCACAATGTATGGGAAAGTACAAACAAACAAAAGTAACAGATAATAGAATAAATGTGTCGGATGAGACCTACATGTAATGTAGAATAAAACCTTACATATCCTCTAATATATTTACAATCAAGTGGGGTTAATCACGGTATTGTTTCTAATATCAAGGCAGTCTTTTTTATATTTACCTATTTTGGTTACCTATTGTGGGAATCATTACATGTAAAAATATATTCAAGTCTGTCTCTTAGATCGAGACTCTTGAAATATGTTGTACTTGATTCAAGAATTGTAAAGAGCTTATTACGTAAAACATAATATTCAACGGGGGATGCCCTCACATCGGACGGTTTTTCGCGCGCTCGAACTCACGGTGCTCTATCGCTAGTTGTCAGGGACTAGTCAGTTTTTGATGAATCGATTTTAAAAACATTTGGGTACAGAACATACTTGAGTAAGAAATGGACCCATATCGTTCACGGGCCCTTCACTCTCCGCGTTACAAGCGGAAAATGCCAAATGCTGTGAAACGATTTTGTGAATGGCCGACACTAAACAGTGTGTTCTAACTTCGCACGTTTTTGCTGTTTTCAGAACTTAGTGATGACTTTAAGTAAACAGAAAAAAATAACTGAATTCTATGACATGTCAGCTTTCTTTTGATGGTAAAATAGCGATTGTGTGTACTTCTTGTCTCATGAGAGAAGGGTTGTATCTAACGGCTTACACAATCAACGTGGTTCCATGGGAATTAAGTGCAGACGACAGTGGTGTTTACGTTGTTTTTCTCGGGTCAGTTTTCCACAAAGCAAACACTCAGACCGACATTTCTACTGTTTTGTAAAGCCTCATGTTCTTATGTATGTAGCAGTTGTCTTACTGCTTGGCAAAGGTGGTATTTTTCTGGGCACGACTCGCCGCTACCAAATGACCCTCCTCTCAGCGCCGGCATCATTACTATTGGCGAAGTTATGTTTTTTTAACAAAACGATTAATGAATGAATGAAAGACCTTTATTGTACGCTTGTGCTCTAACGAGCTAAGTACAGGTCATGGGTAGACAGGGAAAGAAAACAGTAATGACACTTACATACTATATAACCTAATGCGATCCACTATTTACAGGTTCAGCTTCTTCTCGCTTCTTTACGCAGTTAAAGATGTACGAACA